CGGTATATGAGTTCGCGAGGCCTTGGGTCACTGATCTAATAAATTTGACAGTTTACGACTGTCGCGTGGCCCTGGGGTCGCGTGGAGAGTGCGATTAATGCATCTCGGTTTCCTAGACCTACTGAACACGTACACCGTATCAGGTGTCATGCCTTCTAGGCGTGCGACTGTGGTCATTGCCCGATCGTCACTCGGTAAAATCCTATCTACTAGGGTTCCCGTAGGCGGAATCCAAGTATATGGCTAGCTGGTGCTAGTTTTTATTTCTTACTTTAAACATCTGGAGTCGACTAAAGACTCCGGTTACCGCAAGTTTTGATTTTTATGATTTTTCTGACGACGATAGGCACGCTGACCGACCAAAGTATTTTCAAATATCTATCCCCCTTGCTATTTTTCTCTGTGAGAAAGTTCGAGCTCATGGTGTCTCGTGAGAAAAACAGCTCTGGCGTTATAATATTCTTTAAGAGTTTTTGTTGGTCCCGTGTTTACTAGGTCTGGTATTTAATAAAAAGAAAAGAATCGTGAAGTCTGATCAGGACGTAACACTATCAAATAATATAATAGAAAGGCATTGAGAATCGTCGCGGGATGTTAGTGCAAAATTATTTAATTTTTCTTAAAGAAATTAATTTATTAGTCTACGTGAGACAGTTAAGTTGTACACCGATCTCTGGTTCGAGATACTTAGAGTGTACGAAAAGTTTAGTACATTGTTCTCACATATAGAGAATCATTATGTACTGATAGAAATTATTGGAAAAAAAGGAAGAGAGAGCCTTTCCATTATATGTATTATTTTTGTTTTAAATCACGCGGGCATTATGACGCGTTCGTCCTACAGAATTGTTGATTTCCTAATCTAGGAGAGATAAATGTTAGAAGCGTGGGGTCTGAGTAGTTTAGTGGTCAGAACATTCGCCCGGCAAGCGGAAGACCCGAGTTCAAACCTCGGTTTAGCCACTAGCGCCCTGATGTTTTTTCTCTCTCTTCCTTTCTTTTCAATAATTCCTATCAGTACATAATGATTCTCCATATGTGAGAACAATGTCCCAGTCAGCAAAATGTTAGCAGCCTACCGGCAGTTTGCGAGCAGATTCGCTCAGAACTTGGCAGCAGATACAGTGCCATCTGTGTCCGCATTAAGCTCGTGTTCTGCCGGCAGAACCTGTCGACATAAGCTGACAGCAGATTGGCAGCAGAAACTGAGCAGGACCTGCACAATGCAATTTGATGTCAGATTGACGGCAGAAATCGAGCAGGATCTGCGTAGTGGAATTTGATGTCAGATTGTCGGCAAAAATCGAACAGGATCTGCATAGTGGAATTTGATGTCAGATTGTTGGCAGAAATCGAGCAGTATCTGCCGTCAATTTAAATGGAATAATGACATTAAATGTTTAATTAATTAAATGTATGCAATAGGTATGTAATATATTTACTTTAAGATAAAAAATATTACAATTTTTTTTACAAATTTCAAAAAATTATAAGTTATAAAAAACAGTTTTTATTTTATAAATTTAATATTTTTGTACATATATATATGCAAGAAAATTTTGTATTTGTAACAGAAAAATGACTAAAAACTGTAAATAAATAAAATATATACATAAAATATGTACATTTTACTTATTCACGGTTTTTAATCATAAACAAAGTACAAAAAAGAATAAAATGCACACATAAAATATATATATACACAATCTAAAATAAGCATTAAATTATTTTAGATGTATACACATATTAATTTAAAAATAGAGACATTAAATACGCATCAATAAATAATTAACTTATATAATAATATTAATATTTGATAAAATTTAGATTACATTAATTATGTTTTAAAATGAAAGTTCTATAATTAATATTACATATGTAGATATCAAACGTTTACAAAAAAATTTATGTTATAAAATACAAGTACACATAAGAGTATTTTCAACATATAATAGAATTTGATGTTGAAAATACTACTATACATATCATAATACAACACAATAGTGCTACAAAAATAGTACGTATACTATAATATATGCTGTTGCGGAGCAGTTTATGCGAGGAATATGCAGCCGGGTTCCGAAGATCTCGTTATCTCGTTGATCATTGAAGCAACCTGAAAAATACACACAAAATATAATTTAAGACGTGCATATGGAGAAGAATACTAATATTTTAGCACTGAAAAGTGTTGATAAAAATAGAGAGAAATTATTGGCACTGAAAAGTGCCGATTAATATGCAAATAATGTTCCACCATAATAAATTGATTCCACCAAATTAAAGTGGCACTGAAAAGTGCCTATCTTCGCGACCACAGCGAAGTCTACTGAAAGAAAAGCTGAAAATCTAAAAAAAAAACAAATAAACATTTTTATATATTAGAAAGAATTCAGGAATATAATTGAAAAATGTTAAAAAGAAAATTTGTACTTATCTTTACTCTATAAAGATCGTCTGCGCGTCTGCTCGTCTTACGCATCCTTACTCGTCCGCTCTTTCATCTTCGATCTGTTCAGGAACATCGTCGCTCCAAAAATCATGCCTGTGATTGTCTGTTCGTGTGCGTCGCTTATGCGCCTTACTTCTGCATCTCTCCTTGGCCGTTCTAAGAGCTTCTCGTATTTGAAGTTGAAATTCTGACCGAGTCGGCTTATTGAAATAACGATTGCTGCTTATCGCTTCTGAAAAAAAATATGCAAGTTACATTATCATAAACAAAATACGTAATAATATTAATGTGTCTCAGTATACAGGTGTATGCTGAGAAATAAAAAGATCGTACCATAAATAGCGATAACAAAGCGGGTATTATATAACGGCCGTTGATCTTTTTCTCGACCCCACCAAGTGAATGACGGCGTTACCGAGTCCTGTAATCCCTCCTTCAGGCACAGATTTACCGCTTCCTTTAAATTGAATCCGCCGATGTATTTGAAATAATTCACCTAGATATTGAAAAATAATGTTAATGCATATTGCATATAAAGGACAAAAAGTTTTTATATCTGTTTACTTACAACTTCACGAAAATCGTTATCGTCGATATCTTCAAAAGCATCCATTTCGATCACGGATGATATGGGCAAACAGGCTGGCTTACGCGGTACGCGATCGCGGTCATTGTTGCTTTGCACGCATTTCAAAAGGTTGTGCAGCAAACCATTCATTCTTCTGTAAATAAAATATAATAAAAGCATCTATATATACAGAGATCATGTTAATAGATATGATACATTAGATTTACTTACTTGAGCTCGGCATCAATGCTGCTCAATTTTTCTTGCGTTATCCTGCAAACATAGCACAAGTAACGTTGACATTCTTGCAAATATAATGAACGAATTTATTTAGAAATCACTATTTCTATAAATATTAACAAATTTACCGTTTGTAGTCCGTTCCTTCTGTGAATCGTGGAATTTCAGTATGATTCACCTGATACTCGTTTATTTGAGAAATACTTTCCTGTGCCGGCCATGTTCTTAATTTATTCGGAAACTGAGTTGTATTCTGAAACTGATATGTATTATTTGTAAAAGTAATATTATCTATACTATTAGCATGAGTAGTATTATCTATATGATTAGCTATGGAAGAATGAGCGGGTAATGTATGTATCGAGTGTGATGTATCGACGGCGTGAATAGATGTGTGAGGATGTGATGTTAAATGTGTTGCAGTGGATATATAAGGTTGAATGTTTGTTTGTGATTGCGTATGGATAGGAATGTATGATTGTGTGTCTGTGTGTTCTTGTGTATAAATATTAGTATGAAAAGTATTCTCATCCATATAGGTTGAATTATCTGGGTTCTTCAAAATTCCTTTGAGATGACCGATATCCTTGTCGATGTCTCCAACCGTAACGGTCTTTAATGGGATCTTCTTGCGTTTTGGTAATTCGTCATCGGAGGAAGTGGTCTAATAGCGGGAAGGTTTTGCAATGCTGCGCTTCGGTCGTCCCTCCATTTCCTTATAAGCAAAAATACATACATATATTAATGAATACCGCATAATATATATAATATTGAATTAAATAGTTATTAAATCTATCTAAAAACAAATAAAATTATACAATATGCATCATCTTTGAAAGTAAATAAAACGCATATGTTGCATTATACTTAATTTTTTCACACAGGCATTAAATGTAAATTAAGAAAAAAAACTGTTAAAACTGTTAAAAATATTCAAACTGTGCACACAACTCAAAGTGAGAAAGCTAAGTAAAGCTATTAAGAAAAACTATAAAAAAAAACCTATCAAGAAAAACTATTAAGAACAAAAATTATCCTGTTGCAACATGCATATTTTGTGTGTGTGTGTGTGTGTGTGTGTGTGTGTGCGTGTGTGCGCGCGCTCGCGCGCGCGCGTGTGTGTGCACGTGTGTGTGTGTAATTAATGGAAATATGTGGTATGTACATGTAACATTATGTAACAGTATGTATATGTAACATTATGTATTAAAAGCAGCTAAAGAAAATAACGACAAAGGCAGAAGATTGATGCAAAAATGATGATGCATCGTGCTTTTCAATAGCAAACATTTGTTTTCGAAAAAGAGAAAAGAAACAAAATAACAAACCAAACAAGAGAATAGAAGATCTTAAAGCACAAAATTCATGCAGAAAATAAAACCATAATTCTTTAATCTACAAAGATGCTTGTAAAAAATTTTCGCAAGAGTATATCTTACGCCTTCTCGCTATGTACAATAGCAGCGACAATGTATTGAGGCAAATGATCTTCATTACTGTCACTATCATCCATCGATATAGAATTCCAGAAAGGCATTCTGTAACATTTAGCATGGACTTCATCCAGATTAATATAAAAGATTTCATTACTCAACGTGGAACATTTATATATTTGAAGAGCCGAAGATAATACACACACACACACCAATGTCATAAAAATCTTCAACCTGTAAAAATTTTTTGACTGCCAAACGATACAAATTATTGTGTAGACTAATATTGCAGACAATGCAAATGGATCCATTACGTAAAATGCAGCAACTATCACGTACATCTATACTCAGCAATATTCCGTTAAATTTAATTTTACGATACTGATGACAATTACTATCATTATACAATGCGGATACACGAATTGACGAATCAATGACACGAGTATCGACTGTTCCGTGAATTTTAATCTCTGTCATTCTTTTGAAGAATTGTTGAAGAGGTAAACCCGGTTTTCTACAATATTTTCTAAAAATGGACATGTTATTTTCATAAGGAAATGCAGAAAACGAATCTAAAGTGCCAAAACGTCTCACGTCGTTGGTAAGATGAAGCAAGCCATGGATATTATAAGTATTGAAGGTTGAACCATAAAAAGAATCACTTCGATGAACAAATTTTTGTAGCGCAAGCTCTGCAAAATTCAAGTATTGTCTTGATGATGAATTGGAAACTAAGATTCTTATTGCCACATGTAAGAATAAAAAGTGCTTGTACAATCTCTCGTCCAATACACCATACGTTACAACTGGTCCTGTATAAAGCAGAAATTGACGAAATTCTGTCGCTTTATATTTAGAACACATTTCGAGAGATCTAGGGCGTCTTGCAAAATCTGACGGACAATATTCTTTAAGATTATTCAGTCTTGCACACATAATAGAAATGAATCTTCCTGATAATTTTG